GACTGCACAGCCTAAGAACAAAATAAGAGACTGCACAGTCTCTTCTGTGCAGCTCACAAAGAATCAGAGAGATGAATGCCACTGAATGTAGGTATTTGTGATGGATGCAAGTTACAATTTTTTAGTGGTTTCTCAGCTGCCTATGGTTTCAGAGTTTGAAACAAAGGACCATCAGATGGTAAATTACCCAATTACAACAATGTGATAGAACCACAAAATTCTAAACGACAAAATTATTCCATGTTCCCAAGATTCAAACAACAGAATATCAAGTATGAAGGTAACTGCCACAGGCCTAAAATACATTTTTTTTCATGCAATCATAATTTCCCTTACTGTATGTTAGCAGTTGATTATATTATATAATCTAATTTATAATTCTAATTTATACATACATATATATATGTCAGATAGTATATATATGAGTATATATATATAAAATATATATTATCTACCTATAATGATTAGAGCATTCAGTAATGAAAAGTAATAATGTCCCTTACAAGGAACTTATAAATACTGCAGTGAAGCATCAGAAGCAGAACAGAACCTCAACATTTGACTAATGAGAGAAGATCCTCCTCCATACTGCCCTCAAGTATGACTCTTAAATCAGAATTAGCATATTTTAATTACAGCAATATATATATAACCACAACTAAGAAACAGTGGGGGGCTGAGAGAGAAGCAAAAGGAGCCCAAAATCCTGTAGCTATGGTATTACAGTATCTGCATTTAGAAGGACCAGGACAAGTAAAACTCTGAGTTCACTGTGATGAGACCAAAGCACCAAAGTGAACTTTTAAGATAACAGGTTCCTTAGGGGCACTTAAATTACATTCCCAGTCAGACCCCAGTATGAATTTGTTTTCTTTGCCATAGAATTATGAACCAGAACAACCAGAACCTGTGATGGGACTATCACCACAGCCTCAATCAAGAGGCAAGTGCTGGTGAAAGCTGTGAGCAGTTACCTCAAATTTAAACAGACATCTGGTATTTGTTTGGGAAGCAACTGGCATAGAATGATTTTCAGGGTGATATGGGAGATCATGTTTACATAAGCATTCACTTGATGGAAACAATATCAAACCAAAGTGGAATAAAATCTTTCTGGTACAAACAGTTCTGCTGAAGGAAAATATGGATTCATTCTGAGTTGAGCGGGTATTTTTTCAGCACCCCAGGTATCCCCACTGCTTTCCCACTTCATGCATACACCTCATGCTTACATTCAATTGTCTTTTATTCTAGAGCACTTCACAATCTTCACTCAGTCTTTGAAAAAGGAAATTCAGCTTTCTGGATGCTGACCAAACCAGAAATAACTCTGAAGCCCTCCAATCATCTTGTTTGGATGTACTTTCTTCCTCTTTCAGACCTGGCTGGCAGAATCACGTGTAAGATACAGACTCATTCAGGCATTCAGGACACTGCTATGATATGCACATGACCTACAGGGCGAGGGAAATACCTCTGAAATGCTTTGAATCACTGCCTGCCTCTCTCATCTGTGAACTAGACACACAACTTCAATAGCAGAAATTGCATTTCCTCAGTCACCTCAAGCCAGTTCCCTACTTTTCAGGTGCCTGTATTATTTCAGGTGTCTACCAGGAAGGTAGACTCTGGCATGGAGTCTACTTAGGCAGTCATCACTCTTTTTCTATAGAATGCACCAACTCAAGGTGTACTGAACTGGGGAACATGCAAGGAGAGAGAGTTTTTGTAGTATTACCTCACTTGTTGCATGAACTGGAATGTATGCAGTGAATAAGATATGCAGGGCACTGCATGAACAGAAAAATAGGTAGCAGCAAAGGCAGTTAAATGGTTCCTTGGAAGAACAGAATCCTCTCCTCCTTCTGCAGTTGAGATTCCTAAGGAATTTAACTTAAATCATCTTCTTATGTAGTAACAATAACTATCACCTTCAAAGTACCCTGTGATACTTTGATAATGCTATCACCAATCACTCTTTCCTCCTATTAATGCTGTTTTCACTCACTGGGCTGAAGCCATGGCACTGAACTCACGACCTGCTGAAGCTGAGCAAATACATCCTTTCAAACTGCCTTGATGTGTACACAGGATGTTTGCACCCTGACTTTCTGTAACCTAATCATACCCTGAAATTATTCAGTCTCCCGCTGGGTACCACACAGCTACCCCCAAAATGCAGTTCTGACCACAGCCCCAGCTTGCAAATCACACTTAAGATCCAAACTACACTGTAAATCAGACTCAGAACACCACTGTTTTTAACCAGGTCTGGTGACAGTTTTGCCAACTGGTTGCTGAGATAGGTGGGTGCATTTGTTACCACAGGCAGGGCAAGATTTCTTGCTACTTCTCTGGCAATCTATTTTCTTTCCAGTCAAAGAATTTTCAATACAGGCAACAGGAACTATTGGTACCATGTGCTATGTCAGGGACCCAGTGCCAGACCCACAAGAACTCCACTGAGTGAAACAAGGGCACTGCAACAGGGAACAGCAAAAACCTCGCACACCATTTCTACCCTTCTCCTCCTGAATGATTCACATTCAGATCAGGTGACAACCACCACAAAGCTACTTCCTTGTGCTAGGAGGCTGTTAAGAGCTTTCCTGTAGCCCATACTTCCCTGCAACTGTGCAGGAACCTGCACAGGGAAGCTGTATGAACTCCACACTGCCATAACCCTAAAGACAACATCCCCCAAAGCCAAACAAAATCACAATCACAGATTTCTAAGAAGGCAGAATGGATCTCTTTGGTTTTACTATTTGAAGGGTCTGCCTTCAAATGTAGGTAAATTCTTTTTTTAATTTGTTCAGCTTCTTTTTTTTAAAATTATACAGACATCTCCACGTCAAGAATATTTTACAGACAGACCCCTAGGGCACTAAATTGCAGTATTTATAGCTTAGGTGATATCCCCTTGTAAAATACAACACATTGCACAGGAAGCTATGGAGTGCCATTTATCTTACTTCAAGACATCTTTCCATAGCTCTGGAAATTCAGTTGCACATAGCAAATAGATTTTCACAAATACATGGTCAGTATTTGGCATACACGTGTCTAAAACGAGCACATCTATGGAAGTTTTGATTTATGCATGTTGTCACCTGAACCTGCAGATCAGCCTTCTACCCATGAAGTCCCACTGCTCTAAGGTTCTTCTAAAATGGGTTAAAAGAATTCAGACAGATTTTGCCCTCCCTGGTGTCCGCTGATTTAGACCATGACTGACCAACGTGGTGCTCAGGTAAAGACTCTCCTGAGTGCACTGATATCAGCCAAAACCAACAAGGTTGTTCCTCAGATTGAGAAGTTATCAGTCCCTTCTTCTGCCCTAAAAAAAGTACAGTTTTATCTATGCAGCTTTTAAGGGTGTTTTCTCCTATTTTTTATTATAACCAATACTGGCACTACACAACCCACTAACATTTACCCTCACAGAGTTTCTTTGACAGAGTCTTTCTCAGACAGAGTCAACTATCTAACCTCAGTTATCTTCAGTGCAGTTTAAGCCACTTAACTCCTCTTCTTGCTGTAGACACAAACAGACTATTCCCTTCCTTTATGCAGCAGGTGTTTTTTACATATTTCATGACCATCTCCTTAATCCCATCAAATCTTCCTTACCTAAGCAGAGTTTGCCTCCCTAAGCATAAGAACAAGAACCTGTAATGAAAATCAATAATGATGCCACCAACAAAAGGCCTTAATTTATGTCCTACTTATTAACATCAACAAGAAGGGTATACCTATTCCCTGACTTAACCTGACTTCCTTCAGCTGTACATTACTCAAATGCACCAGTGCCTAACAGTTTACAGCTTCTTTTATTTTCTTAGTTCAAACTTTTTTTAAAAGCTACTCCAACTATCCTAAATTTCAGATTTATTAAATAAAGTGGTAACAGCATAGATTCAGGGTGAGAAAAAGTTAGGGAACACATTAATCCTACTTATGCTGGTTAGCTGTAAAGATCAAGGCTTTTATTACTTTAACATTCATGTTAAATACTCAGCTCCTTGTCCCAGGTAGTTAAGTCAAATTTCCTAATTAGGATTCTAGATGGCTTCCACCTAAAAAACGTGCACAATGTTTGAAACAGAGTGTAGCCTACCACAGCTTCCCAGGACCTAAAGCAGAAGCTGCTCCAGATCAAATTTAAGCTTATTTTCCAGTGGACAGTCATCTGGACCACAAAAACTCCAACCATTCACAGAGTGCTGCTGTGCAAGTTCAGTGTCCGAGGTTTCAAAACTGCATAACATTTACCCTTCACATAAAACACTTTACACAGTACACACAGTGTAAACCCCTACACTGATACCACATCACATCTGCAATTTACCAAAACCAAGGATTAGGGTTAAGATTTCCAGAGCAACACAAAGCCCTGGCCTCTTTTCATCATGTGTTACAAGGTACTCTTCACATGATCCCACAGCACTGGAAAATGTGACTGACTATTTGGCAAATGAGATACAACACTGTGTATCCTACAACCACTCCTCCAATCTGTGAAGAACGGTTTTCATTTAGAAGCTTTATTACATCCAGCATTCCAGAAGATAATATCTCAGTCCATATATACTGTACTGCATATTCCCAACAACTGACAAAGACATAATTAGGTCTATAAAAATAAAAAGGGAGATGAAATCCTACACCTGGCATCACTTAATGAAAAACACCAAACAAACAAAAACTGGTGGTTCTTCACATCAACCAAGCTGAGAAAGAAGCTGTCAGAGGATACTGAGGATCTAAAAGTTCCACAGCTTCAGGAGGGTGGGAACCCATCAAAAACTACTGGACACAAAGGCACCATCCCTGTCTCAGGACGTGCCCCAGTCTCTAGTACCACAGGAAATATATCAAATATCAATCCTGTTATCCTTAGATTGCTGAGATGACTGAGGGTGTCCAAACGTAAGTAAAGGGAAAATAATTATAAAGCACAGCTACTGAGCCCAGAAATAGAATTAAAGAAAGCAAAGTGCACTCAGAAAATTCTAAAAAAAGTTTAATTTAAAATTAATATATCAAAGCTTACAATATATAGTCTATATGGATCACTATGCCCATGTGTACTATACACTGCATATGTAATTACATATGTATTTGCATATGTTGTTACATACATATTCACACCTGTAAAATGTAATTCTCTCACTATAGATACAAATTCATCATTTGGCCTTTAATTTCATGGAGTTACAATGTTTTGTTCCCCACTGCTGAAGTTCTTCAGTGTTCAACTAAAATAATTAAAGTGCAACCCACGTAGAAAGCTCTCATTTTACTGCATTACAAGATTTAGCAGTGGACGGTTCATCTGAATCACCTGCACTGTATTTTTTCCATAGAAAATTTTCATTTCTTTTCCAAAGAGAACCTTCACACACCTCTGTCTCTTCTGCCACTGTGGGACGAGGTGCTCTCTCACACAGCTTCTCTATGACTGCTATGTCCGTGAGCTTTCTGAGCTTCTCCTCGTTCTGCTCATTCAGCATATCCCAGAAATCTTTTGGTTTCCCCTTTGATTTTTCTACTTGCCCTGAAGAGAATCTCCTCAGTGACCCTGCAGGCCCACTCCCATCATTTCTGAAGAGGTCATTGAGAATAGAGGTATCCCCAAGTAAGTCCGTAAAAGACTTTTTCTTGTAAATCTGAGCTTGTCTCTCTCCGTTTTCTGACTGAGACAGGGATCTTTTTTTTGGCAGCTGCGTTCCTTCTGAGTCCTGCTGTCCTTCACAACTTTTTACAGGCAGCACCTCTGATTTACTGTTTAATGAGCCAGATGCCATAAAATCCTTGAATGCCTGACTGTTCCTCCTTTCGATATGTTGAGCAGCAACAGTGGGTGACTGTTTACATTTTGCATCAACAAACACATCTTGCGAGCAGCAGTCATTGGGAAGCCTCTCTGCTCCTCCCTTACATGTCTGCTGGGCCTGTGTCTCTGTAGTCCTGCTCAGAAATAGTCCTTCAGTTGATGAAGGCCTAGACTTGGATCTTCCAAAATTAACAATGGATTTTCTTTTTCTGGAGTGTGCTGTGCCCGGTTCTCCTTCCTCACGGTCACATAAATCTCGTGCTGGTATTTCAACTGAGAGGAAGGACTCCAGCTCTGGATGCCTGGAAACATAGAATTCCTTCAACATCTTCTGCCTTGTTTCTGATGTAGCTTTTGCAATATGTTCTGCAAGGTCCTTCACTGATCCCATATTGAAGTGGGATACCATTTCCTCAAATTGTGTCCTGTAATTATCAAGAAGGAAAAATGTGTTATTCTGACACAAAAGCAGCTTTCAAGCGATTAATTCAATTCACCTACTTCACATAACCCAGAAGGCAATCAGCAGAAGTAACTTCCTTATTAGAAGCATTGTTGGTTTTTATTAGCACAGAGAAGAAAGAATAATAACTTCAGAAAAACTGAAATGACCTTTGAACCCCAAACTACACTGTGATTTCCTCAGCTTGCCATTCAAAGACTTACTGACTGTCACTACAGGTAAGATACCACAAGAAAGGGTCAGATTTCAGGAGGCATTTACCTACCAAAAAAGTGTAGATGGACAGATGGTTGAATGTTGGGGTTTATTTGGTGGGGTTTTTTTGTTTGTCTTAAGACAAAACTGAAAATACACTGGCAAGCCAAAGGAAATAAGACAATTCAATAATGTGTATGAAAAGCATGGAAAAACAGAAGAAAAACCCACATAAAAAAGCAACAGTACCTTTTCCTTTTAGTTTTTCCAAATATCTGTTCTATAGGTATTTATTTACGTTTTTATATAAATATTTGCTTAGTTAGCTACAGATTTCCACTTTCTATTTCCACATACCACCTGGCTCTTTTCATTGAACTTCTATCTATGTAACAATGGAATTTAAAATTCATTAAAATAATAACAATTGCTTGGGGGAAAAAGGGAAAGCAAGGAAACAGAAAAATTATTATCACTCCAAAAATGAGGGGGGGAAACAAAACATTAAAAGAAATACTAAAAAATATCAAGCCCCACGTTACAAAAGAAACATGAAGTCCAATTTTCTTTTTATTAGTCTTTCAAAGAAAGGGATGAGATCTGGGCAAAACCAGTAGGCAGGCAGAAGATCACACCACAAAATGTCTTGTTTCTGTACAGTTTAATCACTGTTTTGTAGTTGTGCATGATGAACATACCACGAACACTCATCATGATGACATCTGCACAGTTATGTGTTATATGACCATTGAACCAACCAAAATTTTACCTTAACAAATTATTGAGAACTATAATTACAGTTCTGAATATTTTTAGAACGAAGGGTTCTTCATTCTAATTTGTGTGTTCAATTAATCAGTTCCACTACTCCTAGTGCAGTGGGAGTGGAAGTTTCCCACTAGTTCCACTCTTGCCAGAGAAAACAATCAGTATTCCCTGAGCAGGGCTGAAATAAAGACAAAAGCAACAACTACCCAGAGGGAAGTTTGTTTTCAACCTTAGAATTTTACTTCCAGCTCCCCAAAACAGCCTCACCTGCGTATTCCTTTGGGAGTCTTCCCAATCAGGAAGGTGGTTGAACCCACTCTGAAGACTTTTTTCTTTCTCTGGGTCACAGGATGCCTGACATACAGATGATGTTGCTTACTGTTCCTCAGCATTTCTTGCCCTCCCTTCATAATGCTCTTCTCTGCAGTGTTGTCTTCTGGGCTTTCATCCTTTTCCTAGTAAAATGAGACATTGAAATCGTTAAGACATAAACTCTGACATAATTATGAGTTCTACTGCACCCAGTTCTCTCACTCCCAGCTAGCACTCAGCCTGGGATGCACAGCTGCAAATTAGAGTCCCTACACAGCCACAAACTTCCAGGGACATGGGAGGGAAGTCTTGGTTCTCTGATATCTAGCACAAAAATACAATCCTGTTTACACCTAAGTTATTTTTCAGAAATTCTCACAAATTTTCACCAAAATTTCCCCTTTGCCAAAAGGCAAGCCAAAGGAAATAAGAAAATTCAATAATGTGCATGAAGAGCATGGAAAAACAGAAGAAAAACCCACATTAAAAAAGCAACAGTACCTTTTCCTTTCAGTTTTTTCAAATAAAATCATGGGAAAGAAAAGCTGCTTAGTGATGCCCTCAGCCTCCCTACTAACAATACTTCAGAGATGAAAACACAAACTGTGTTCACACCTTGTCACCTGCAGTTCAAAATTTGCTTTCAGATTTACAGTGTTTCTTCCCAATGTGTTTCTATCTGATCCGTGTCCATTTCCCTCATTTCCATGGGTCGTTCACAAGGTTTTTGAGCTTTGGGATCTCTCATCTGTTCTCAACTTTACTTTGGTGAGAAACCTCGAGCTAGCATACAGAGAGAGATGTTAATTTTTGGGACCTACAGGCAGAAATTTTCACTTCAAGACAAATGCACAACTCCAAAGCTTAAAATTCTACTGCACTATTTTAAGTTACACTATATAAAACTAAAGCAAAGTCCTCAGTTGAGATAAAACCCCTATCCTCCCAATATTAGTATAATGCTAGTAACAAAATTAAGATTGAATTAGCAGTCATTACCTACAGCATAAATATTCTACAATTCTCTTGCTGGTTCTGTATACATTTGTTAACATTTTAATTTTTTTTTTAACAACTGCATGGATAATACAGAACTTTACTTAGAAAATGTACTTTGAAAGGAGAAAGCAATGATAGTTTTAAAATATATTCATTTTGATGGAAATTTTGCATGAAAAATATTCATAGTATTCAGATCTCACTATGCTGAGACTTGGCATATTTTCACTCTGTCAGTAAATCAGGGCTGTATAATTTAATTCAAGAAAGAGTAACTCCCATAGAATACAAGACTAGCCACGTCAATGCCTGTCTTAAAGTATTTTAAAGCCCCATAAATGTGCATCCATCTACCTCTTTTTAAACAAGACCAAAGTATATGAGGCAGTAATACTTTGGTTTACACATCTGTTCAAACACAGAAGATTTTTAGTATCTTTGGGAAAAAAGCCAAATGCTGTAAACACACTGAAAGCCATAAAATTGCTGGTCTTTGCAGAGGAACAGAATTAATGTTAGAAGTATTGCTAATTGCAAATAAATGCACGAATGGCATATTTAGTTCAGGAAGCACGAAATTTTAAGTACAGTGACCCACACTGCCACACCCAAAAAACCAACATCAAAATACCACCATATACACACAAAGAGCTCCTCTTCTACCTAAATAAGCTGCTTAGAGATTTTTTTTTCTTAAGGTAGAAAAAGTGATTATAAAAAGGTTACCACAAGAGCTGAAGGAGCTAATGCCAGTGAAAGCCTGTGGTCACTGTGAGATACTTCTGAAAAGCTTATCTCAGTTTTCTGGAGCAAAGGCAATTGGTTAAATGGTGCCCAGTTGGGCTGAAACACAACAGTTGGCTCTGCTGAATTGGTGAATGTTTCAGAAATTCCAGCCCCCAAATCCAATAATTTCTTCTTGAAAAACAATGAACACTTCTTCAGCAAATCCAAATCACTTATTTCAGTTTTTCTTAAGATGTTTCCATGTTTGTTAAAGGTCAAATCTGAAGTTTGTTACTGTGAGTGATATCTGGATAACAGGATTTACGCAGAGGTAAGCTCTGCACACTGGGATGAAAATATTCCCTCTACCCTTCTCTTAGAATTACCCCTAAAAAGGCAAAAACTTCAGTCATGTTCCATCGTTGTCTTGCACCAAAAACATGATCTTGAATCAACATAGTTATTACTATCGTCGAGAATGAGAGGAGATAGTCAGCCTATCTCAGAATTCAAAGCTTAAACTAACTGCTTACTCCAGCAGAAGTCTGTGGACTTACACCTATCTTCTTTCACCTTCTCAGCCTTCCATCAAACAGGAGCAAAACCAAAGGCCATGCACATGTATCACAATGAAAACGCCACTCAAAGAATGCCAGGTATGAACTGACTACATTTAAAAAACACGACCAAATGCCATAGTGGAATGTTTAAACTGAAAAAGTAAACTCAAAAAAGCAGCATGGCAGGCCAATCATGTGGGAACAATTCTTTTTAAAGCTGAATAGTTCACCATCCTAGAAGAGCAAAGATAAAGGCATGTTATCTCCCAAAAGCCTACTCTTTGTAAACAACCATCCAAACTTGTTGAATCTGATAGCTGTGCAAACACACTGCAATCAGAGCTCCTGCAACTGATAGAGAGTCGTTGTTTAAATAATCTACAAAATGTCAATGTAATACAAATAAGATAAAGAGGAGTTCTTAATGACACAACTTTTGTATTTACAGTATTCTCAACAGTACTTAAATCTGCATTGGAGATACAAAGGGCACGTTTTTTCCTAGGCTGACAGCATGCTTAGTTTTTTCATTTACACCACATTGCAATAACATAAAGAGGGGTTTACCATTAATCCAGGTTTTACTACAAAGCATCTCGTTATTTCTCTGTCAAACACTGGCAATAGTGCCAAATGTCTGTCATCCAATTTAGAGGATTAAGTCTTCCTTTATAGTGCAATTCTTGTACGAATTTATAAAAATACAGATAAAGTTTCTTAGAGCTGGTCACAGTCTATATTTTGGCCTGAATTCACGCCGCAAAGGTTGAATATGACAGCTGGCAGGAAGCTGAGGGAAGAATATATCCTCCCCCTTTTCAGTCACCACATTTCTGTTGCCATAGTGATTAATCCTCAATTGAATGGCTGTCTTTGTACATTTCTTTTCAGTAGAACTTAAAGTAAACTTAAGTTGAAAACATGCAGTTGACTAAAAAAGAGACTCTACATATTCAACAGGTACAGTACAAGTTCTCCCGACTAACACTTTTCCACATACTAAAAGCGAAAATTAGCTCTAATGTGGGACATCATCAGTTTTCCAAATTATTTAGTGTGTCCTGTTCCCATTTTCTGTCTTTTTTGTGAAACATCCAAGCCTTCTCCAAAGATTTCCCCAGGCTCACTCAACTCCCCCACCACCCCGGATTCCAGCTGAAGAAGTACTACACAAATTGGGCTTTACAGGAATTAGAGAAAGCCTATCCCAGACTTCCATACTGCTGTCAAACATTTCATATAGGCTGTTTTTGCCAATTAACACGGAAATTAATTAGGAAATTCATTGAGGAATGCAGTCATTGAATCGATAATAGACCAGAAACACTAGAAAGAAAACGTTTAATCTTGCCTCCAGGAGGTTTCTCCTTCTTATGGGAGGTAAGAAATAGTTTCACAGATAACAGTGCAAGTTGTCAAAAAACTGAAGTAAGTAAAAAACTTCTGCACTGAAAATCAGCCGGGTTGCTTTGGAACTCAGAGCTCACCAGAAACAAAAAATAAATCAAAAATATCAATACTTACTAAATGACTAAGATCTTAGAGAAGCTGTTAACACTTCCAATTCCCCCTCCTGCAAATTAGTAAAGTCAGAATAATTTTGAGCAAAATATCTCATGAATTCTCAAGACTATTTTTGTCCCTCTGGACGGCTGAAATAACTGTAACTCTGCTCTGAAAATTATGGTCTGGCTTTGTAAGTCCACCATGTCCAGTCTACAGGTTCATTTCACATGTTTGCTTTTAGAAGCTTTTGTTTTCCATATGCTTCTTTCTGTGGTTACACAAGATAGTTTTTTTTTTGTTTTCAGCTATGTCCTTAGCAGATAGTGATGTGGTAATAGAGACATTAATCTTCTATTTTTTTAATGAAATCACAGTGAATATTTAATTAAGTCTATTTGCACAAGACTCAAACTCGAATGCAGAACACAGACTTCTCAATGTCATCAAATCAGGCTAAACCCAGCAAAATAATGCAGGGAAAAAACAAGTTAGTTATTCCAAGAGATTAATTTTCCATATACCTTCTTCCTCCACACTTCTCCATAACAGACCAGAAAACAGACCCTTCTTTTAAAGAATCTTCTGAGAAACAGCACATCAAGTGTATTTTGTTGTCATAGCATAAGGAAGCAATAAAGAACAGCACTCAATTTTGACACTAAATGATGTGGATTTCCTACCCTCAAGGTGTTCACAATACTGAAGCCTGGTGTGTTCTCCCTGCATCCTGGCACCACAAATCTAACCCTAACTCATGCTTTCACACTTAAGATTTATCATGGAAGATTACAAGTAGCACGAGATCTTGAACTGCACAGACACACACCAGTCCACTTTCTGAGACACTCAGGTTCTGGGATGTGCAATGAATTTTTAGAAACATAAAGGAAGTTATATTTCTATATAGGAATATAGAGAATTAACAGTGCAACTCAAGATTAATTTATTACACAGTGTAATCTATATCTCTGAAATTTCTTCAGAAACAGCTGCCTGCCACACTTCTGCATGGAACAAAAGTCCCTGGCTTTGATGTGATTTCTGAGGCTCTAAACACCTCTTATTATTGACACATCAGTGCCTTCCACATAAGCAGAACTACCAGAAACATTAACTCTTTGTGGAAAGATTATCATACTATTCTGGGCTGCATCAAAAGAAGTGTGGCTACAAATCAAGGCATGTGATTCTGCTCTTGGTCCAGAGGATGGCCACAGAATTGACTGGAGGGATGGAACACCTCTCCTATCAGGAAAGGCTGAGAAACTTGGGGTTATTTAGCTCAAAGAAGAGAAGACTTCAAGGACACCATACTGTGACCTTTCAGTACTTAAAGGGCGTCTGCAAGACAGAGGGGGACAGGCTTTTTATCAGGGCCTGTTGTTGGTTTAGATCAGACACAAGGAAGAAGGTTTTTTTACAACGAGGGTCACAAAACACTGGAGCAGGTTGCCCAGATTGGTGGTGAGTGCCTCATCCCTGGAAACATTCAGGTCAGGTTGGACAAGGGGTCTGAGCAACCTGATCTGCTTGAAGATGTTCCTATTCATTGCAGGGAGTTTGGACTAGATGATGTTTAAGTGTCATATTCTATAGTTCTCATGTATTTTCTTCTCAAAATCTACAGCAATCCAACACTGTGGGCAATGGTAAGAATACAGATAATCTTCAGAGAAAGGATAACATGTACAATTCAGGAACTGATGGTATTAAAATATTTTTATTATAATTGTAAGCATTCTGCATTTAAGGGACATTATGCCATGTCAGTCAAAAGAACCCAGTTAATCTTAGTCTTTTAAGTACCTCCCTGATCACACTTGCAAAATGAACTATAAACAAACCTCCACTGCTGTAGATGACTATGAAAGCCTGTTCTATAACAAGATAACAATGTCTTGCTTCATTGAGAATGCTACTTCAACTCACCTACAGCTACAGCATCATCTTATACTTTCATGCAATCCCATGGACTTCTGTGATAAAAAGAATATATTCCACAATTTATTTTCCCTTCTTCAGTATCATGTGATGCAAAAGCCTTTTCACATTTGTTTGCTTCTCCTATTGTCATATACAAACTATCTTCAAACAGTTATCTCTCTTTAATTCACATGCTGGGCAGGATTTATTTTGACCAATGATATTCAACCAAAATAGGGTTTATTCCCTTGCTTGTACAATTCATGCACGCTTTATATTGCTACATTTACTACTTTTGGATTTTATCTCACCTTTCACAGCTGCTAAGTTGTGAGAGGGCTCTCATGATGTCCTGTTTTTCCTTCTCCATGGCAGACTTTATATTCTGGTTGCTGTTACCAAACTGTATTTTCCATAATCATACAATATTTATGGAAATACACACTAAACAAGCACTCAGAACTGTAAATATGAACAGTCCAGCTGAACTCGTCAGCTGGCACAATTCCTTTAAAAAGTGACATAAACAGACAGTACGACTGCACTCCCCATCACCTCTGGGGAAAGAAGAGTCAAAGGCTCTGCAGTCTTGAACCCAGGATTCTCATGGAACCTGGAGAACAAAGCAGGTAAGAAAGAAGAAACACAGCAAGACCTATTTCTCATAAAAAGCACCAGGATTTTGCTCCCTTAAGCCTTTAAAGGTACAGTGCAATAGCAGGTTAAAATAACACGTTCTGTTTGTTCAGAGAAAAGGTAGCTGGGGTATATGAATACTGGGCACAGGTAAAATTAAGGGCAGACTGGGTACTTACTACTGAATAAAAAATAAACTTGATTGAAGCCTGCAGTTCAAAAGGTTAAGAGAGATTTGACTGTGAATTACACCAGTGCAACCCTGTAGATCTAACACAGACCTTCCAAACTCTAATTAGGGACAGAAACTATCACTGAAGTAAGGAAACTATCACTTGGGGTAAGGAAAAGTGTTCAAGTCTTACATTTTTGTACAACTAATTTAAATCCAAGTTCATTAGCTACTCATGTTCTTGAACCAGGTGTTCTACATACCTTCAAATTTCTCTCCTGAAGAATTAAGACTTGCTGCCCCACCACCCCTTCTACCTTGGCTCTCAAGGATCTTCTTCTCATGCAACCTCTCTCACTTTCAGAGTCCTCACAGGCTTTGCAGTCTGGTCCAGCTTTAAGCAGTTTCTACAGCTCAAGCAACTACATTAGTCTCCATGCTTCAGCAGTAAAGAAAGCACTAATAAACCTAATTTATACTCCTTTTAACTACTACAGGTAGAAAAACAGGAAGCATATGTTGTTTTCTACTGCTTTCCAGCAACTTATTTTCAGTTTACTCACTCACCTAGTTTCCATAAATTAGCCATTGAAACTAAAGAACTTAACATAGGATATAAAAGTTTACGTAATTTAGTGAAGTAAAAATGTGATTAGATGACTAGTCAATAGCAAGAAATCAACATGTCAATGTTCTTACAGGAGGTTTTCTTTATTGATTATTTTGGCTTATTATAATCACTTGTTATCACTGTCATTCCAGATTAATATGTAAACATGAAACAAAAATGTTTCACTCAAGTGCTCAACCGAGATTTGGAGGAATTTGTATCTCCCAACTTGCAATTCATCCACTTCAATAGAATAATTCTAGTTTTTAAGAATTCAGGAACCCCTTTCACAGAGATATTAGTGATTACTTGAAAAATGTATTTGAAATACATTAAATCAGAAATGCATTATCACAGACAGCCTGCTGAGTGAAACTGTAAAGCAGGAAGACAGAGTTGGCATAGGTAAAATGAACAGCACAAAGGACATTTTACTTTTTAGTCCTAAGCAGATTTATCTATGAAATGAAAGGAAAATAACTTTTCCAGTTCTACTTAGAAATAAGAGAGTTTGATTACGTGTGCTTAAAAAGGGATATAAATATTATCAGGGAAAAAATATTATTCAGGAGCCTTCATGACACTATCAAATAAAGCTTCCATATAAATACACTGTAAAAAAAGCTTCTAATTAAGAATATGATCATTGATACCCAGAGCAAACAAACACCTACACAACAGTTTCTGAGAAACTCCATTAAACCAATGATGCCAGAAAATGAAATAAGTGAGGAATTTTGTCTGACAGAACTCTGCTTTCCTCTCAATAACTATCAGCTTCCAATTAACATTCCAGCATTCGAAACTGTAATTTTATTTACTTAAAACAAAGATGGAAATTTAAATGACTCACCTGTATTTTTAGTATTACATATGATGCTACATTAATCTGTCGAAAAAGCTTTTTATTAAACTTTATATAAAAGCAGCATTCTTTTTATAATGCAGGCAGTTGCTCTGACAGTGAATGTCCTACCTTAAACTGATGGGAAATAAGTGAAAAATGACCAGCAAAGACTGATGGCCAGAAGCACAACAATAGCCATGTTTTTCCCAAAACGCCTTCTAAAGTAAAACAAAGCAATAAAGAATCTTTTAAAGTTGTCTATGAAGCTCTGGCAGCTCTTTTTTTAAGCAGAGCAGCAAAAAATTCAGAGTGCCACATCTAAGAATAGGCCATCATCTAGGGATTACTTCTGGATTGGTGCCTCTAGAGTAAAAGAAATAACAGGAAGTGAAGGAAGAGGCAGACTTCTCTATAATTTTTGATATTTTTCTTCCTACTTAGTTCTCCAAGAGAAGTGATACTACTGTTGCTTCTCAGCAACAAATTTATATCTTATAAAAACTGACAAGTTAATCAAGAGAAGCTGATTTCTAATACTTGCAGTCACACAAAATAAGCTCTAAGTCACAGGAACAAAACAAACTTTTTGAACAGAGGTGGATCAACAGGTTTTTAGACAAAATACTCTCTTTAAAAGTTTTCTTTCATTTATATTTGAGTTTAATAATGTTGTCAGCCAGTGGCAATTAATAAGTACCTTTCTACAGTACTCTTGAGTATTTTTGACCACCTTTTCTGTTAATGAGGGACATTCTAATGCAAATGTGTTAGAATTAAAAAGGCCTCACTTTTACTGGTTCTCCTGGTTTGATCTTCCCAGTATAAAAATTCTTTGGCAACTGTGCTAATGGCTTAATTAAATACAGTACAAGAACAACAACAACACTGGAAGAAACTCTTCCAGCCACTGTGGATGTTCAACACCCCAGAACAACATAGATGTATGTCTACAATTTTATAATGATTGCTAACATGTCTGTGAAGACTGAGCTGCACATTCACCAATTACTTGTTCTGTGCTTGTGGTTTATCTTAAGCATCAGCCCAGGAAACTGCAAATGTTTATTACAAGAGAAACAACCAAGTACCCAGATAATCAGAGCAGATTAAAACCACTAAGTAATGGGAACAAAAATCTGGAAGCTCTACCTGAATTCATTCCGGATTTGTATGTATTCCCAATGCAACTAAACAAGATGCATGACCAACAAAAAGCATTAAATGTATCTGTGGCTGCAAATAAGCACTCCCAGTAAACTCTAGTGGTATGTTTCAGACATTAGACAATCTGACTCACTACAGCAACTGCACACATCCACCTCCCCAAAAAAGCCTGCAAACTGATTTATGTCTGACTTTCTATGCTACAGAGTTTTCCAGAATGTACTGTGGCAACTGGATTTTTTTAAACTGGATCCAGGACAAGCCGAAGAATTTTCAAGGCTCAAATGAGAAAAACATGGCACAGAACTTGATTTCAAACACCCAATCTTTAATCTTACCATTCCTCTCCCAGAAAAATCCCACAGAGGGTGCTGTGCTGCTTAAAAGCCACCTCAAAAACCAAAAGTAATTTATTAGACTTCCAACTGAGCCTTCTCCTCCTCCCATCCTCAATGTCTTTGATCATTCACGGTGGCCATTAACAGAAAAACAAGTTTTTTTGGAGTTTTTTAAAATGAAAAACAAGGATAAAAAAAAAGAGTTAAACCAACATTTCCAAACATTTCTCTTTACCTTGGCACTACAGACAGCAACATTAGCAGGAAGCTGGGAAAACTGCTTCAGCTCAAAGACATCTCGCACTGCCCACCGGCTCAGGTGATTTTCAGCCCTGCTGGATCCCACCACATTCTGGTTTGAATGGATATATGCCACCTCTTGAACACCATCTGAGACATCAGGAGAAAGACACAATCAAAAATTAAAATCAAGACACAATCAAAAATGTTGGTTATTCCAAAACTCTGAAGGTACACGGTTTCACCGAAGGATACTGTAATTAAGAAAACAAAAAATTACATCAAAGTTGTAAAATTTGTTCTGATTTTACTCAGCACCAAGTTTCTCAGCTCTATGAAATTAACAACAATCATTAGACTGACTTGGATTTATCTGGACAGTTTAAAACTACTTCAATTCCCGTGTGGGCTTTTTTCAGATGGACAAGGAAGTTTCAAAGCATCTGTGGTTTAATGGCTGCAATATTAATGTTTAAAATTAAGTCTTTTACAGAATCAAGTCTTCACGGTATTTCAAACTCCTAGATCACTTTTTTTTCATGTACGCTAAGTTTTTATTTAACAGCTCCGTAAAGACTTTTAAGGTTTTGCAGTTCAAACATTTCGTTTGTGAATTCTTAATACATCTTCAATCTTAGCATTGTTCAAGAGACAGTCTTTAATATACTATTACAAAGCAGTCTGTCACCCCAGAGGACAGGAAAGTAAGACTAATAGGTAAAAAGAAAGACACAAAAAGATATTATTAACTAATTTAGCAGAGCATTTACCAGCATCCTGTAACAAACAGCATGTATAGCAAGAACTTAGAGCCTGCAGACAATGGTAAATTAAATGGTAAATTACTCACGTTGAAATAAAACCAAAGAAATTAAAATACTAGTTACCTAAATATCTGTCCATTGATTCCATTTTTTGCTCTTGATGCTCAAATTCAGTTTTTCTTGCAGAATTTCTATGCACAGCATAACTGCCAGACTCCATTTGTGCAACAGAGGATTCTTGAACAGGACGCAGCGTTTTAGACCCAAACTGAACTCTGCCTCTCTGTCTTTTACACTTATGGCTTTGCTTTCTGGCCTCAGTTTTCTCAGATGGAAAATCATCTTCAGAGGACGAAAATTCATCTATATTCTGCGAATCACTTTCCTTTTCTTTTCTACTGGGCTTCTTTGCTTGTAGCAGAGATTTGGAGTCATTATCTGGTTCATGGTTAAGGGCACATCTTTCCTTGCGTTTTGAAAAGCTGAAAGATCCTGGCTCTCTTGATTTAGAATCATGGGAAAGTTCAATATCATCGGATTCATCACTTATGTCACTTGCTCCTTTCAAACCTGTGTCATCCTCAACATCTTCAAAAGATGACTCAGTACTGTGGAACCCAAACTGCCTCCTGGCTCCCTGAAACACAAACCCAGCTTTTTCTTTTGCTAACTCCTGGCAATTTCCAGATGCTGACCTGTGTATTTCAACTTTTTTAGTAGGCACTGGTTGAACCTGAGTAGGAAAGATGACATCATCACCCTCTTCAGAACTACTTTCAGTCTCCGAGACTGTCTCAGGTTGCTTGGAAATGCCTTGATCCTCATTTTCTCCGTCCCCTTCCTCCTCAGAGCCTGAGAAATCTGTACTATGCATATCTTGTTTATCAGTTCCATCTGCTGCCAGAACAGTTTTCCCATGCTCCAAAACAGGCACACTGCTTTGGCATTTCTGAAAATCACTGTGCTTGCTATTTAGGTTTTTTCTTACATGATGAGAATTATAATTATCATCCCCTTCTTTGGTAGTTTCAATTTCTCTCTGCAACAACTTAGAGAATCCACACTGCATTAAAGAAAGCTGACCCTTTGCTGCCATTAAATTATTTGCATTGCAAGGCTTCCTTCTGTCACATTTTTTCGCAGAAGTTTCCAGAGTATCATCATCACTGAAGTCATCCCAAAAATCTGTTTCTTCTCTGTTTAATTGTGCCTGAGCACTTTGGGGATCTCCATCTTCTTTACAGTCTGCTTGTTCATACTAAAAAAAAAGAAAAAAAATTACATCAGGGCTATTTAACATTAATGGTATATGGAACACACCTAATTTCAAAGCAGTGTAAAAAAAGTGGGTTTTCACTATGTTACTCAAGCAAAAAATACACAAAGTAGTATTACAAAATGCAAATAGAAAGCAAATACAAAATTAATCATAATGAGAAATTAATAAAGTCTCTGGCAGCTGAAAATTTTTAGCAGAAAAACAATGAAAATAACCAATAATTTTGGTTAAAAAATTAAATATTAGATAAATATTTAATATTACATATTAGAGACAATATATGCTGCACACTGCTAAAACAACCTATGTCTTCACAATCTACATCCATATTTTTCAAGTTTATACTAATTTCATTGCTACTTTTGCTCTTTCAAAGGCAGTTTGAAAGGTGACTTAATGATTCAAACCTTTATATTGTGTAATAACATTCATAAAAAAAAAAAAGAAATCTTACTGCAGTGGTTAACCATACTGTATATGGGGGCTAACATTAAAATAGTCATGAGTACACAACAGTCCACTCTAAAATTAGTTGAGGTCTACTGTAATCAAACAAAATTACACCCAGGCAACTTTTAAACATTTTGAGGACACCAAAGTCCAGAACACAGCTACAAACCCCTGTACTACTGAGACAAGAATTATGACAACCTGTAAACGGAAACTCAGAAGGGTAAACACTAAAATTTGGTACATGAAGAGATGTTTTAAAATTAATATATTAATCCTGATATCATCCTGCTCATCAAAAAGTATTCAACATAAGCTTAGAAAGCTACTGTTTATCACCAAATCCAACATGAGATCACAACCATATAGTGATGTATTATCAATGAGCTATGATCAATAAGTTATGATCAATGTGAGGGCACATGTTAAATTAATACTGACATTTACTCACAGAAATCTCCAACAGGCATAAGAGATAGCAGCTAATTTTTAACACCATTCAGTGTGATCTAATCTAATACTATCTTTACTCTTGCAGGCCACATTATAGACATAACTGCTTGCTTCCCCTAAGTACCTGAACACAGTGTTCAGTCAAAAACATTCCTATAAATGCAATACTCCTATTAAAACCAACCTTTTCAGGAAAAACAACAACAACAACAACACATGTTCCAGAAGAAGACCATTATGTATTTACATACATTTAAAAAAGACAGTATTGAACAGAGCACTGATTTGATGGGAATCACTGTCTCATTGTCTGACTACAGCTGAACAGCCTGAAGCTTTCAACAGCCTAAACCAATTGGACTCCTTTCCACAACTCCCTCAACAAATCTTCTAAACAGCAGGGTAAAAGTATTATCAGCAATACTAACATATTGCTCACTGCAATATCAGAAATTAGAGGGGCTGTCATGCTCTGGGTCCACAGCCCACAAGGACATCTTACCTTCTCTGAGCTGGATGGAGCACTCTCTTCCTTCAGCCAGGTAGTTGCTGTCATGACTCCTGCTTCCACCTGCCCTTCCCTCTAAAACAATCAAATATGTTAAAATAAACATATTTGTTTAATATAAACATACTGGTTTTGCTACATAAAAAAGGCAAGCCCAGGAAAAAATACCCAAACGCTCTTTTTTTCTCTTCTACAGAGGTGTAAAGCACCAGAAGTACAATCAGTAAAGTCCAGACTCAATCCTAGCACGTGCAAAATAACAAAATAAAGGGAAGGATGGAAAGAAACCTGGAATAAAGCTACAATTAATTTCAAGATGCAAGCTAGCTGCAGCAAACATGCTTTATATATATATGTGTGTAGGTAATACCAATGAATTTTTTTGTTGTATGAGTTGCATGGCATTTATAAAGTAAAAGTATTCTTTTCCCTTAAAAAGTGATGTGTGTATAGGGAGCTAGAATATGGAGAGATGAAAATATTAATTAATTGTCACTGGTCAATTAATATGAATTAATTGAACACTGGTTTTGAGATTTCGAAACTGGTTTTCAGAATTCCTCCTCTCTCTGTCCTGCTTTATCTCTAACCCTCAACTTTGTTCTCCTACCAGTAGAGATGAATAAGAAGATTTAAAAAGATTGCATACACTTGAAATCAGTTTAAACTATGGAATTGGGTCAACAGGCTTTTCAGAGTTACTAAGAACCTAATTTTAAAATATGAACCCTCAGTTATTTACTTACTTCCACCCTATAACTTCCTAAAATACAGCATTATAAAATACATTTTATTAAATAGTTTTTGACACTTCAAAATGTACTGTGATCACAAAAAATATTTTTATGACCAGAATTCCAGCTTAAAAGGTCAGCCTGAGCTACTGATGAATAAAAGATATCTGTGCACAAAGCTGACAACATGTGAAAGTATCAAAACATAAGTTAAATAATTGTTATTAAGAAATATATTAGCAAATTTATGAAAATTATAATCCAAGCTTTTCCCATTCTTTGATTTAAAACAATTTATCTGCTCTACATCAGAGTGAGAAATTAGCATGCCTGTTTCATTTAAGTCACTGCATAGTTTGAGTTTCACCATTCTGTTTTACAGTGTTTCCATTCAGAAATGACAAGAAAAAAATCTCCTGAGGAAAGAAAAAATGTAAAACTAATAATATCCAAAAGCAAAAGGATAGCACTTCACACCTCCAGGATGTCTTTGGTAAGGCAGGACCCATGAATCCTGAGTTTGAAAAGGTTATGGATCCCAAAAAGCTCTCCCTGGTGCTCCTTTGATCCTTGCACTGCCTCGAAATACCTCTTGGCATTTTCACTTCCAACGACCGCACAGTGAAGTTGCTAAAACAGAAGAACACCAGAGATTTGAGAAGTGTTTGCTGCAACAACACGTCAGAATTTCCTGGCTCCCACTTTATATACACAGCTTTAGCTGGAGCAGGGAGAAATTCCTAAGAGAGGATGTTTTAATTTCCCTGGCAGATGCTGGGATAATAGACTGGGGTACAATATACACCTGCTTGGTTTCACTGAATTTTCAAAAATTCAAATATTTTACTGTATTGTTGGCTAATATCAGACACCAACTATACACACTAGAGGGACTCCTCTATATCTTGACTGCTTAGTTTTCCTCAGTAACTGTTTTTTTACTGTCCTGTATGCTTACTTAGTAAGGGAATGCAATCCAAGCGTAGCCAAAAAAAAAAGAATCTCAGATTTACTATTCCTCCGTTTATTGCTTCTTAGTAAACTTGAAAAACACGAGTCAATTTGAAAGGACAAAAAAAAAAAAGGCACAGGAGCCTTTCAAGAAGTTTTATGCATGGTTTTTGGAAATCCAAACAGACAATATCCAGGTCTTCTTTTCCTACAAGTTCACCAACTCCCAAGGCCTCTGTGAAGCAGGTTCCCCTCCTTCAGGATTTCAGTGAATGGAGTTGGCTGTAATCTGCCACTGCTCATTTTTTTAGCCTTTCTGAGACTTCTCCTACTGATACTTGCTGTTGAAACGACTCCTCAAAAGTACTTTGCACATCAAAACTTTGAAAGAGGATCCTCTCTACGTTTTCCCCTGAATGTGGATGTGAAGAATAAATAAGTAGGGTGGTTTTTTTGCAATGAATACTCTTTTAAACCTTGCTAAAGTAACAGTCATATAGCAGTGCAATTCATACTCCTGATATGTCAAAAATGTACATTATTAGCTTTTATATTTTTGGACCACTGTCCCTCAAAAACAGATTTTGGACTTACCATGCATTATATTTAACTTGCCTTGTTAGTATATGATTTCAACTACTAATGCATCTTCTTAATTCTGAGCTTCTGATACAGAATCTCTGCAAATTGCCCAATTACCTGTTACCACCTCAGCCCCACCACCTACTTCTTTTGACTTCTCCTTAACAAGTTTTGTCTTTTTTATTTACATAATTTCGTCAAAATTAAACAGAACTCTAATGGCTTTTTGGCTTCTACAAAACACTGAATTTGAGTCAGATAAAAGTCACCACTACATTTTGAAGGCAGGATTTTAAAGCAAGCCATACACATTACTGGGAGCAGTTCAAGATTGGATCTGTGGGGTTTTTGACTACCTGCTCTGTGAAATCAGAGGATCTTAGAACCTTATTCTTACTTGCCACTTACTTAAATCCAAAGAGAATAATGACAATTCCACTCATCCAGCCTCCAACTTCCTCCTTGTAAATAACCTAACTACATCTGCTTGTCACGGAGGACTCATTACCAACTTTTTATTATTTATGGCCAAAAATTCAAGTTACTAGGTTAATTGCTCAAATCTGGTAAGGTTTTCTTCAATATGTAGTATCACTCCCACTGAGGTAATCTATTTTTATCTTTTCTATGCAGTGTATCCCTCAGGACAACTGTACTCCACTGGTTTTCTGCCTTTGTCCCAGTTTACGTGCCTGTAATGTCAGAACCTTAAATTCAATCATCTTATTTCTTAATTTGCGACTTTTGACAACTGCTAAACGATGTATCTTTGCTTTATAAGTTAAGTTAATAGCATATATCATCAACCCAAAATAAACTACAATTTTGCTGTAGGCTAGATTAGCTTCCAGTCACCAAGACTGCTAAAAAGAGCTCCAAATTTAAACAGTTTGTGAACTTTACCTGTTTATAAACTTGTCGCAAGTACATCATCTCTTCCACAGTTCCCAAGGAGATCAATCTAAACACTTTAACAGGTCTGTACTGGCCAATCCTGTAAGCTCTGCAAGGACAGTGGCACATCAAAAAACATTTTAAGAGATAAGAGAGCTCTTGGGGTAGTAAATAAACCAAAAAATAAGTACAAGCATTCTAATAAAATAGGAATACTCTAAATCATGCTTGTGTTGGTTGGGTTGTTTTTCTTTTCCACATTTTTCTCAGTAGTTCATTTCCTTTTCCTTTACCCTCAGTATTCCATGTTTCTCCAGAGGCCTATGAAGTTTAAAAAGCTTTCTCCTGATTTTGTATCACAAGAACTGCATCCCATCTCTTCTGAAAACACATCTTCCACTCTGTTTAACTCAGGTTTGTTTTGCTTTTCTTTTCTCCTCTCTGTCTACACCTGCTCTTGCTCAAGGTATTCTCCTATTTGTATTATACAGAGGAATTAGTTTATGGATTACATGGAACAGCCTGTTCTTCCTTAACTTTCTAAAGCACTTTGCAAGTTACAGCATCATAAAAACAGCTAATGAACTGGCAGTGCTCTATCCAAATGGTAAATTCTGAGATGTCTAATAAACTATATTTCACAAAATTCACTTCATAGAAATGTGATCTTACAAAGATTCTTTAAAGACAGTCCCCAATATATATTTCTGACACACTTTTTTCTCTCGAACAGGTGAACATAAACACGTATTAGAAGTCAGAAAGACCCTTAAAATGGAATTATATAATTGCAGGAGATAACAGAAACAATTTATTTCTGCTCATAAAAGTATATAGAGCTGCTGAATTTTGAAAGCTTTCAATGTTCTTTACTTCAGCCAGCCAAAAGTCTGTCCTGAATTCCTAGGGAAACATCCCACAGCCAAAAAGCCTTGAAAGAAATATCTGTATTACTAGAAATACTCCAACAGCATAATATAAGAGCTAGAACTGAGTGCTGAAAATACTCTGATCTCCACAAGGGTGAAGCAGAAAGGTTGTCTTCAGGGGTTCTGGAATTCAAAACATCACTTTAACTGGGGTCAACTACAATGTATTCTGTCATGAAAAACAGAAGAAAATGACAGCTACACACACACCCATTCTACAGAGATCACAAAAAGTTACAGTAAAAAATTTCTTCCTCAAGGAAAGTTTCAGTTGGAGTATCAGATTATGGAATGAAAGCCAAAGAAGAGCACAACATGGATCAAGTTCTGTATTTTGGGAGTGTACCTGTCAATTGCTTGAAGATCATTTGCTGGATTCCAAGTAGGATCAAACAGGATAACAACATTGGCACCCACAAAATTAAGACCCAGTCCACCAGCCCTGAAAGCATAAAAATGAGAAAAATAGAATTATATGACAGTAAAAACAACCCTGAAAAAAAATTTTCTGTATTAGGTCCATACTGGTATACCCTTCCCAACATAAAAAAGAACACAATAAAGATACTGAAGACAGTGCAGTACAGCTTTGTGTTACTGTTGTATTAATAACCACCAAGGACTCAAATAACCATTGCTATAAAATGCAGTCTTCTCACCTAAGTATCATCAGCTTACTTAGTAAAAGTCCTGGTTCATTCCCTCTAAGTCCTGCCCAGGCCACCTCCTCCAGTGATTATACTGAAATTCATAACCACTTTTACGCCAGTTAACTTCATGGAAGCAGGAAAATTTAGGGCGAAATTTCACTTCCTCTAATCCCAGCACAGAGTTTCAACAATAATGCTGTGCAGCCTCCACTAGGGTAAGTCACACCTGTAGGAATTACCAGCCCTCACAAATGTATTTGCACAGTAAGTCACTCGGGTGTTGAAAACACAGTTGCCCACACAGCTGCACATGAGCAATATTCATACCAGTCATTGCAAGGAAAAAAGTCCCTGTCAGAAAATCGCCTGCTCTGGGGGCTGGGAGTCACAGTTACATCATCTTAAAACACTTCACAGCTGGACTGTTCTTTCAGGTAAAGCCTGCAAGCCAGGAAAGAGTTTGAGCATATGCCTAACCTGAGGCAGCTAACTGCTGAATCCAACTAAACTTGGAATTTGGCATGTGCACAGCTGGATGGTTTGACAGAAACAAAAGTGAGGAAAACACCACTTCTCATCCAGGGGCAAAACAAGCAAATACTGAATATTCCTTTCAACTGGCTCAACCAGCCATGGCACAAAAGAGACAAGTTCCTATACGAGCACGTGTTAAACACTATTATTAGTTAAACTATTAAAACAAATGTTCACACTGACACAGGCATCACCAAGTTCAAGTGTGTTATTTTCCTGAAAGAGCTACAGTAAAAATTAAAAAAGTCAATCCCATTTAATTTACCAAGCACGTGGTTTAACAGATTACTTTAGATTCTGCTTGTTTAAAGCAGACAGGAAAGGTAAAGTTTCCAGTAAAAGGCTGAATGGAGACAGAACCAAAAGCTTAGGGAGCCCCACCACTTTTTGGTGGAATCCATCTCAGTGTAAACACAGTTGTGGCCTTGTCCTTCCAGGTGTGATGTGGTGTTGGGTCAGTTAAATCTGGAAAGGGAGAGGATATGGGAACCTGCCAACACTAACAGATGTTTCCGGAGGATGCACATTCTCAAAGTTTGAAATGCTGAATAAAAATATTTGCATTTTTTTCGGGATACACTGCGGTATTTTGGAAATTTAGTGTACTGCTTTTCAGTGAAAACAGAATTCAGACCCTTGTCTTCCCAGACTAACCCTGCAGTTGGACTGAAACATAAATCAACGTGTAAAACAGACTATCTATAAAAACTAAACAGGATAGTTAGCTTTACGATAATTTCACCTTCAGTATCTTTAAGTATGACACAAAAACTCAGTTGCTCTAAAGCAGAAAAAGAATGGCTCCTATGTCCTTCATGGACAGAACAGTCATTTGTGCACTGTAAAGCATATCTTCCATTTTGACTATCATTTTAATTAGCTGTTAGTCATTACTGCAATTTTAATTCATGCAAACCATTATAATATGGCTCAAATAAAGAGTTTTGTTACAGAGAACAGTTTTCAAAAGATCATCTTATTTAAAACTGCACAGCTTATTACCTCAACATTCAGAAGTTACAGAACAATACTGCATTAGGGAAGTTTCTATGAAAGCTTTGACGATGTAATTCTGTTTACCAAGGTAAGTTTTTCATAGTTCCTACATTCTCTTTTTCAGTGAGATCTTGTGGTTTAAAGTTCTTTGAACGTTATCACATATGCATTAAAAGCTATTTGCAACATAGGTGAGAAGAGTTCAAGTTAAATGAAGCCCTGGAAAAGTAAAAAGTAATGATCAGGAGCCCAGCAATGGACAGTCACTGAGGATGCTGCAGGTAGAAGGGAAGTGCATATACCTACAAATCTCTCGAAGCACTTCTCTTTACATAACAAAGATAATTAAGATGCAGAAATGGATTTTCATTAACAATTATTCTGAAGGAATTAATTTAGAGAAATACTGGCATAGAAACTCCAGAAATGGTGATTTAAAAACGGGAATACTTGCTGCTCTTATTTCCTCCACAACACTACAACAGGACAGAGCTGTGTTGACTTTGGTCCTGTACAGTTTCCCTTCTCCAGGCTAAGCAGCACCATTGGAGTTGCGAGCTCTGACATTCTCCTACCAAGTTACAGCAACTCCAGCAACTCCTTTAATGTTTCCAAGCATGCCCAAGAATCCCCTTCTCTTCCTCAAAATAATCACACTTTTTTCCCAGCAACACTAGCACAGGACTGAAGTATTCACAAACAGATGTTACTTCATGAGACTCAGAAGTTCCAACAGATGTACACCTATTTTCCCCTGGTGCTCAAGTCTGAAACCCATGATCTGTACCTAATGGTTTGATGGAATTTACAAGCTCTGAAGAAATCAATTATATTTTCTCTGAACACCTATAAAATATATTTATCCATTAAGTTATATTAGCCATAGCTATCAATAAAAGCATTAGGGATAGCCACATGACTATGCTTGGTGCCAATATTAACTGCAAGACTTGAGGTCAAGCTGATTTAAAAGATTGGTGCTTTCTGTTTTAAAAGTTGCACGTTAATTGTGCTAGTGAATATAATGGCAGACTCAAAATTACTATGCAGGGAATTCATCCTTTGCAGAAGGCCCCTCTACATGCAAGACTGTGGAAGTATTGCCAGTGAAAATCAGCATTTGGCTTTCTGAGGAATGGGACTTACAGAAAACACACAAGTTGACTACCCAGAACAAAGAGCCAAAAACTTTACAAGACAGTATAGACAGAGGAGTATGACCCAGTTCTGTCAACATACTATGTATTGAAAAATACAGAATATACTGTAAAGTATATTAATATTGTATATATACTTGAAATCTGAGTAAGTGTAAAAATTAATCTCTTGCAGAGTGGAACCAGGATAAATCACTTTCTTATTTCCAAAGGATTACAAATGTAAAGCTGCTTCCATTCCTGTGTATCAAACACGCAAAAAGATCACTTCCTGTTATCTGTGATAAACTAGACAAGGAATTGCACCTCCTGTTTTGCTTAGTACACACTGGTCACACTGACTGCAATTTCAGCACAGGCTTGTTCCTTTCATTTGCTTTGGAAGATGAGTAACACCAAAACCAACAGAATCAAGACTCTTGTCTCCAGCACCATCAGCAGGCAGGGAAAGCTTTCAGTAAAGAAGAACTGACTTGACTGTAGAGTCAAGAATGATTCATCAAGTTTCACTAAGTTTTCACTTCTGAGCAGGACAACAAAAGCTTCTATTTGTTCCCTTTCTGTCCTTGTCCAGTAAAAAACTTAACCCAAGATGAAGTATGGAAGTAACCAGAATAAAACAAACAAATAGTCATTGTTTGTTAATCTATTTCAAAAGAATTCACTATCCACCATAAATTGACAAGCAAACCTTGACAGGTAGATATAGTTTTAGAAGACAGTCAAGGATTTGTTGAAGTATTTTAAACAGACATGCTAATTAGGATGGTTAATAAATTACAGTAATAGTGAGAGATAATTTTTCAGTTCAATACAGCATTTCATATTCACTTGCCAGTTCTACCAGTATAGAAGAAATTGAGTCTGCCTACAATAAAATGAAAAGTCTTTTGTGAATAATGACATAATAATAATAATGTTGTAGTTATAGTGTTTAAAATGGTTTCTTCCATCCTATAAGAACTGAAAATTTAAAACTAGGATTCAGATCTTTCAGATGTTAGAAACCCTCATAAAGCAGAGGAGAGAGAGGAAGTCTGCATATATTTTAAGAAGCTTCACACCACAGCAGTAAGCCTGGACTCACTACCAGACAAGAGAACAACTCACTTGCTCAGAAAAGTAATCCCTCACAAGGTCATCGAGAAAAATGCAGAGTAACCCATTTATTAAACACTGGAAAGACAGATCAAAACAAACCACAACTTAAATTTTCTTACATTGTAGATACAAGACAGATGTTAATTTCTTGAATGCTGTTGAACTCTCTTACAATTCTTATCCTGTCTTCTGATTTTGTATTTCCATCAAGCCTTCGATAATCCAGCCCAGCTGCCATGCAGTACTGCTCCAGCACATCCAGCAACTGAGTGGAAAAATGAAGGGGGAAAAAATCATTTACTTAATACTACCTTTTTAATTAAACATGATCACAGAGGTCATGATTATCAAATACATTTTCAATGGACCAAGCACTGCAAATGAGACGAAATCTTCACCATTTTGGCATCAGCATTCATGACTTTCTTCAGTCACGATTCTACAGCACTCAAGGTGATTAATACTGGTCTGCTGCAGCCTCCAGCCCTGGGTGCCTGTTTCACCTCTGTCACTCAATTAGTTCAACCCAAGAAGCAGGCAGGGAACAGCTTCCTCCCATCTCAGCAAGATGGAATCACTTGAAATACAGTAAAGGAGCACTGGAGCCAGCACAGAGCACACACTCAGGGTCCAGGGGCATGGAGTGACAGAGACTGCAGCAACCAGGAGTCAGTCTGGGAGTGAACATGATAAAGCACAGACTAAGACATACAAGTTCTTTACTGCTCCATCTAACCATTAAACTTGCATTCTGTCTTAAAGCCAAAAAAAATTAAATATTTAAGACTTCAAACTATCACTCAAACTGCTATTTCTCAAAAATACTTTTTAGTGCTGTCATTACAAATATTTAAATAAAGAAAGTGATACTACAGAGTGCAGGGTTTCAGGAAACATATTACTCCCTAACAAGAAAATCAAGGAGCAAGTCCCTTAAAAGAGAAATGTACATATACCTCTTGCTCCAATTAAACACTGTCTTAAATTCAAATCAACTGGTGCAGCAAGTCTCAGGATTGAAGTTTCACTGCTGCTGATGGTCAAAAGTCAGCAGAATGTGGGAAATTTAACAACTTTCAATGCTAGCACAAACGTTTTATGACATTGCAGTCATCCTGTGCTGTGACACTGCTCTAACTCAAGACACACAAACAAACCCCAGCTTTCTACAGCCAAAGGAACACAACAATTTTTAAAAGCTCTGAGGAAGGCAGAAGGGTGTTATATTTGCTTTGCCATCACCATTTTTATCATGAGATAACATAAGGTTTCAATACTGTCCTCAGGACTCCTTCCCACAGTGCAGGCAGTAAGGAAATATGGTTGACAGGTGTCACCTCAGTGCTTCACACCTCAGAACTCACTGCTGCAGTTCACTGATGCAAATCACATGGAACTCACCTTTGTGGAAAAGGAGAAAAGGAGAACTTTATCCTTATTTTTTCGGAAGTGATTTAAAAGCTGCTGCAGGACCTGTAAACGACCCAGAGCACACAAGTGAAGAGATTTTTATCCACAAGTCATCTCATGAACACTTACTCGTGTTTGCAACCTCCAAACAGGGCACACTGTCATTATTTGCAAAGCCAAACAGAGGCATAACAAAAATCATTACCAACATAATAAAATGTGCCAAAGGTAATGGAGATACTGGACCTTTTCATTTTTCAGTGATCTACAGTGATCTTTTCATTTTTCAGTGATCTTTCCTGCCATGAAAAGGTCATCAGACCACTAAGAGGTAAATTCAGAGCCTATTTTGTGTCAGTGCACAGACTGCAACAAAAAGTTCCTTATGTCACACGCTGGCTCAGACTGTGAGTTCTTGTATTTAAAAAATGCACACGTTTACCCTGAAAAGCCAAAGGTCTGTTTAAATTTTCTGTCCTGCATCTGAGTTTTAGAACTTCTTAGAAGTTGCCTTCTTAAAATAATCAGTGAGCTGTGTGCCCCTCCCCGCTCCCGCTCTCATCTGTTGCTCTGTTTACAGTAGGGATCCAGCTTCCCAGACTCTGCACAGCCCTTGACATGCCAACAATCCGCCCACACACGACGTTCTGCTGGGGGGGGGGAGCAAAAAATCCAGAGCCTTGTGTATAATAGTGATACTGTTATTTTCAAAAGAAGCATGTCCACATCTGGCAGTGGCAGCTCCAGAGCACTGGGCAGAAGTCATACACAACAGGGAAAAGAGGAATTTTCTCTACCATGACTGTAGCTTTCTCCCACTAGGCAATGAATGTTTAAAAAATTATATTTATTTGCTGATAAATAAATAAACTTTTAATCAACGTGGATTTCACTAAAACCGTAACAAATCTTTGACAACCAAACAATGATGAATGTTTATATTAACTTTACAATTCTGGATAATATCTAGAAAAAAACCCAGAAATTATTCATCACTTAGTATATATTATCCAGCCTGTTAGAAGTGAAAACATGGTAAAAATGAGAGATTTTTTTTTTAGTCTAGTTTCATTGTACATGAACATATAAACTAGGACTTCTTTTACTTGAGAAAAAAAAATCCACAAAGAGCAGCTAAACAAGAGCTATGCTACTTAAATTTGCATTTTATTTAGCCACATTAAGAAAACAGAACAAAAACAGTGACATTCTTTTAAAGGAGAAGGCACTGGCTGCTGTGTTTTTGTTATTATTAAAGTACAGGTCAAATCTTGACTTTCCTATACAAGAACACAAAAACAAATCCACACAGTTTGCTTAAATAAAGTGGATCCATTTCATCCCCACTGGGAATTCAGGTATCCTGGAGCAAAGAACAGCTCTAAACAGGGAAAAGTAATGAATGTTTTTGCACCAAAGAGAAATAAATTCTACACTTGCACACCAGAGTATTATCCTGCATGGTGTTAGTCTAAACCAGAAATATTTGGTCAAGCAAAAGGAAGAATTCTTCATAAGAGTTCACATGGATTTAAACATGTCTCCCCATTGCTACACATTGTGATTTGTCTGTGTGTGATGAAATGTTACCTCTGGCTTTTAAGAATATCTTTTTTTGTATACAGATATTCAAGTTAGCCCTACAGTGTTTTAAAGACTTCAAAGCCATGCCTGCCTGGGTGGGAATTATGTTTAATGGAGGAAGTTATCATTATTTGCAAAGTGCTCCAATAGACTTTTATTTTCCTACTGAAGTAATGATAATATGCCAAGCAAAAATTATTAAATCAACCTAGCAGTTATTCCTGAGAGATTTGTATTAATTAAGAACAGTAGTCCATAACCCCAAAAATGATGTGTGTGGAAACATTATACGTGCAGTTTAAAGAAAAAAAAAGTTATTTTAAGTGCCCAGACATTTAATAGCCCTTTACACTTAAAATGCTTATAGAGTCTCTCTGAGCCAGAATTTTAACAAAACCACAGAAATAATCAGACAAGGTAGTAATGTGTAGTTTGTACTAAATTTTAATTTAAAAGACTAAGTAATAGCTATTCAGTCTACACTACTAGATGAAAGTTACAAAAGAATTTCAAGTAGCTTCTAAAATTTATTTATGAAACAGAAAATATAAAGTACCACAGTGTGACAAGGTTATTAAAAATATTTTACTATCATTTGTCTCAGGTATTTCCAGATAAACATGTTACAAATTGACAAAGCAGTTTTCAAGCTCTAGTGTCTATTGACTCTCCTGTGATTACTTTCTCATGGTAAGAGGAGTTCCTAAATTAAATACTTCCTGAATGACTTTGCTTCCACAGCGTAAAACCCGAAATCATCACCAACAGCTTCCTTTTTAAAATTCAGAATAGTAAACGAAACAGCAAGTCACCACCTCAGACATTTATGATCTAGTTTTTGGCATCATCATTATTCTGAAGACAAAATTAATGGACTAAAACCCAGCTGATTTTTCAATATGGCTACAGAGCCCACTACATAAAACTCCTCCTTCCAGGCAGAGAGATCCCAGAGTCATAGAATGGTGTGGGTTGGAAACGACCTTAAAGATCATCTAATTTCAAACCACACCACCATGGATGGGCAGGGATGCCACCTACTAGACTGAGGGTCCCATCCAGCCTGGCCTTGCACACTTCCAGGGATGGGGCATCCACAACTTCTCTGGGGAACCCGTTCCAGCACCACACTACTCTGAGAATAAAGAATTTCCTTCTATTATCTAACGTAAACCTACTCCCTCCCAGTTTGAAGCCATTAATCCCCTTCCCTGTTACTGCAGAAGATCTGCCTCCAGCTTTCTTTAGGTTCCCTTCAGGTACTGAAAGGTGGCAGTAAGGTCACCCTACAGCCTTCTCTTCTCCAGGCTGAGCACCCTCAATTCTCTCAGCCTTTCCTCGTAGCAGTGCTGCTTCATCCCCCTAATGATCTTCATGGCCCTCCTCTGGATTCACTCCAACAGGTCCATGTGCTTTTTGTGCTGTGAAGCTGGACACAAGAATGGAGCAAAGGGGGAGGATCACCTGCCCTGACCTGCTGGACACATCTCTTTTGATGCAGCTTTCCATGCCAGCTCACATCCAGGCTCTCACCCACCAGCACCCCCAGGTCCTGCTGGGCAGGGCTGCTCTCACCCAGGTGCCACAAACTTGTTGAGGGTGCACTCAATCCCCTCATCTGGATCATAAATAAGAATATTAAACAGGACTGGGGGACCACCAGTGACCAGACACCAACTGGATGTAACTCCATTCACCACCAGTGTCTGGACCAGCCATCCAGCCAGTCTTTAAACCAGCAAAGAATGTGCCTCTCCAAGCCACAGGCTGCCAGCTTTTCCAAGAGAAAGCCATGCAAAATAAAAAAAATATATATATAAAATAATAACATGAGCAATACCATGGGAAATAACCAGTAGCAGAATTGCTTAATTGCTTCCTAAGCACCACTGAAAATCATGGGCTTTGTTTTTAGACCTATGTATTAAATATTTGCATTGTTAAAAATTTAACAAATAAGTTCATTTTCAAGAGATAATTAAGTGTATACAACAAAGTTAGTGTGCAGGTATCTCACATACATGTAATAATAGTAAAGAAAGATGTTGCTTGCATAATAACAAATCAGTGAAGTGGTAATAGTCATTACTGTTACAACAATGTGGTCTTCCCACTGCCACCAGTCCCAAACAAAAACTGTGAATAACCAGGTTTATAGAGAGCAAAAATCCTGCATAGCTTCTAATTTCTCAGCTACTCTCAGCCCAGGAACACTCCTAAAACTACTATGGTTTTCTTTTTAGTTAGGTACCTCAGACTTCTTTTTCAGCTGCATTAGACATCATTAAACAAACATCTTTTGCTCCTCTCTGAAACCAGAGCAAGACAGTTTCTGAGGTAAGGAGTTTGACAGATTCATACTTGACACATTTATTTAGCATGACTTCTATTATTTTCATTTAATGTCCATAATGTCCAAGGGTTCAAAAAGTCAGTAAGCATTCAGTACATCTTTACCAGATTCATACTACTTATGATTGTGTAGGTCCCTGTAACAGAGAGAGAGAGAGATCCAGCTACAACAACTCCAGCTACATTGCTGCCCCGAACGTGGAAAGGATCTTTCCTTCTTCCCTTCTGGACTTTTATTGGAGGGAAAAGAGATTTGATCCAATGTAAATATTGCTTTACCATAGGAGAGATAGTTAGGATTGTGTATATAATGTATTATAATATTTATTTGTGTAATAATTGTAATATAATTCCCTTCCCCCCCCATAT